TTTTACACCTGCCCTGTTGTCTTAATTTGAATACTTATTTCACTAATATCTTAATTATTTTGCTTTCAGGAATCAATTCTTATTTTCCACTTTCACAATTCCAGATGAGGCCATCATCAAGTTTTGAAATAATTTATTGGTCTGCTAATTTACTTGTTTCCTTGAATTTCTCATTTTTAATGCTATACTTGGGTATATTCTTTTTGTCTTTACATTAAAGTCCAGGTTCTGGATTTCTGACAAATTCTTATCTGGGCATGAAGCTTCCCCTGGAAATCAAAGCAGCATAAAATCTCTGCTTCATTATTCTCAAGATCTTTTGCCTAATTTATGTGATTTGTGGCAGAATTGTGGTCAGTTTTTGTGGTAGCTGATGAGACTTGAGGAGAAAATGATTTTTGCAAATTGGGAAAGTTAACTATTTTAGAAGATTAGAATTTAGAGAAAAAAGTCATTTAGGTTGAATGACTGTCTTTTCTGAATCATGTTCCTCTGACCATTCTATGTGCTCCATTATTATGTTGTTACAAAATAAAGTCCACTTCATTTATGATATCTTCCTTCATCTCTATTAGCAGTTCTTATTTTTATTTTTTGGTTTTAGAGAATTGTATACTTCTATGATAGTACTTAGTATATATCATCATGGGACTGTCAACTCAATAGATTGTATATTGAGTTTAAGTAGGTCTTAATCTATTTTACCATTTCCCACGTGCCTTATGTATACACTAGGTTCTCAATAAATGTTTGTTAAATGAAATTATTCCCTTAGTTTGAGGTGCCTTTCCTACTTCTGGACTGTAATGACTCTGGCATAGATTGCTAAATGACTGTGAGTAGATTGCATAATCTCTTCAACTTTTTGGCCTGAAACTGGTAACGCCTTTCCTCAAAGGGTTAGGTTGTAATTAACTAGTAAAATACTTTGAAGATGAAAACGTAAGGTTGAACCTATGATTATCCTATTAGAAGTAAACTGTTAGTATCAGGTTTGTAGGTAAAAGCTTTCCCAAAGCTTGAAGTTAATAAAATGGTACTGAAGTAATCATTTTGCATATATTTACATCTTGCCCATTTGCTTTACCTAAGTATCTAGATTTCTCTAGGGAAGGGTATTTTTGTAATGCTGTTTATTCTGACATTTCTGTCACAGAGCCAGGGAAAGATTGAAACCCGTCCCTAAAAGAAGTACTGTGGTTTAGTGCAGCAGGATGATGTGCCTCTTACTATACTTCAAACTGCATTATGTGCCAGAGGGCCTCAAACTTTTGTGTACCAAGACTCATTTGGGAGGCTCTTGTTGAAGATACCTCACCTCCAGAAATTCTAGTTTAACAGGTTACGTGTCTTTAATGAGAAGTCCAGGTGATTTCTGATTCAGCTAGTTATGTGGGTAACTCTTTGAGAGATGCTCTGAATGGAACTGAAAAAAGCCAGAGATTATGAGAGACTGGCCAGTAAACATACACCCTCACTTAAATAGTTAATTAAAGTTATAGTTATTATAAAAACTTAAATTATTTAAAAAACGACTAAGCTTCAAATATTTTATTATTTTTCTTTAATTCAGTGAGTACATAAGTATATAGTACTTATTCCCAGAGTTTGTGTGCAAAATTGCATTACCTACAGATGCTTCATGAAAAAAAGCTTGATCAGATGTTTGTGAAATGTTCTATACTGTCTTCCATACTTAGAGATTTACACTGCATATTAACATATTAAAAACTCTTAGAAGTCTTGTAGCTAAAAACCTTGGATCATTGTTTCCCAAACTTATTTGACCATTAGCCTTCCTTTATTTCCCCTAATAATTCCTATTAGTAATTTATTGAACAAACTTTGGGAAATCTTGCCTTTTTTTTTTGCTTGCTGTTTTGTGGAATTAAAAAGAAATAGGGTAATTTAAAAAAAAATTAAAGAACCTAAAATCTTGCTAGAATCTCAAGACTTGGATACCAATTAAAGATAACTATATAATGCTAGATTGAATATAATTAAATGTCAAAATGTATTCTAAAGTTGCAGCTAGTACAGGGAAAAGGTCAATTAAGTTAGATTCTTCAGATAAGATTTCAGGGTAGAGGTGGGTCTTAAAGAGTGAGTGGTGGGATTTGATTAGAAGGAGTAATGCTGGCTTGGGCTATCGGAATTGGTAAAGTGGTTTTATAGGTATCAGTTTCTGTGTTCACAAGTATACCTTAGCTTAGACATTGCTTCCTCAAGGAGTACTTGTTGAATGTGTTATGTAATAATGCTCTTCAAATTCTAATGTGCATTAGAATCACCTGGGCATTTTGTCAAAAATGGTTTCTGATTGGGGTGGAGCACATTTGGAGTGACAAGTGTAGTCTGTTGAGGATAGTTTGAAAGTAGCTGACCTGTTTTTCTTGGGAACTTAAACTTGTAAGTTGTGTATGTTACACAGCTAACATTTATTATTCTTAATTCTAATCATTAAAACTTTGAACTCTGATGTTTGAACTTCTAGTTGTGTTTCCCTTTGCGCCTTTTAGTATGAGTGTGGTCTTAAAACTAGCACATGGTAAATTGTATTGAATCACAAAATTAGTAGCATTTTTTGGAAGAATTTTTTGGTAAGTGAATTGATTCTGTAGGCTGTACTTGGATACCTTTAAACATACATTTTAAGTATTTTTTATGTTTGTTTGCTAGTGGCTATATTTTGACTAGTTATTTTTATAATTTCTTAGAAGAAATTTGTAGCATGAAAGGAGGCCAAATTCAAATATTGTTTTTAAAAAATATTTTATTTATTTATTGTTAAGAGAGAGGGGAATGGAGGGAGAAAGAGGAAGAGAGAAACATCCATATGTGATAGAAACATCCACTTCTTGCCTCTCGCACACGCCCAACTGGGGACCTGGCCCACAAACCAGGCTTGTGCCCTGATGGGGAATTCAAGCCTTGACCTTTCGGTTCACAGGCCAACACTCAGTCCACTGAGCCACACCAGCCAAGGCTCAAGCATCTTTATATGGTAGCGTATTGAAAATGATCATATAGTCCTTTGAAACACTGATTTATAATGTCTTAATAAAGTATTAGCATATGAATTAAATTATCTTTAAACACAAAGTCCTTCCCTCCCAGTATCCAAGGAATTGCACAGTGAAGAGGAGAGCTGCTGTGCAGAGGCAGTGACCTTCCTGTAGTCTGAGGACATGCAGCTGGGCAGGCAGGAATGGAAGTGGGATGGGTTGAGGTCTCTGTTTGGGAGATTGATTAGCTTAAAAATTTAATTGGAAGAGTACATAAAAAATAAATGTCTGAAGATGATGGAAACCAGGTTTCTTGCTGAGAAGGGCTTACAAAGAAACAATGTGTGGGATAAGAATTAGAAGCATTGTGTATACACATTTAATTTTTTATTTAGGCACAGATTAAGAAATAGATATAGGGGTGTGTGTATCTATATATATTTTATATATCTTGCTAAGAGGACTCAATAGCAGTGAAACCCCCAGTTGCCAAGATCTTGGTTTCTAATTACCATCTAATTATCAGAACTTGCAGAAATAGCTAATTTCTAGGATCAAAGAGGGAAAGTTGAAGATGAGCTTAAGAGATTTCTTTTGATCCATAAAGGAAGGAAATATTAAAAATGATGGGAATGTCTCAAAAGGATATAGGAACCACTTTGAAAGGGCTCCCAATGGCCAAATCTTTTATAATTTGAGCAACAAAATACAGTAATGGATTATAACCCATAGAATAAAATAAAGCTCCATAAGTGCCTATTGATATAAATAAATGAGTAAATGAATTGGGCAAAGTGGGGAGAGGAAAACTAGTGAGGAGAGGAAAGTAGAATGTCAACTAAAACATGTAGAAGGAATGATGGGATTAGGCAATCATCATCATAATGGTATTAGATAAATGCAAGAGTAGTCAGTGAATGCTGAGGCTGATGGGTGGAGGTTTGATGGGGCACAGGATATTGCTGATATCAGAATAATTCCACATACTATCGTCAAATACAAAGGGAAAAATAGACTTGACAGTGGAGAAACTTGGCCGACAACAACTTGACCAGGTGATCAAGGTGATAATGATGGGTAGGTGTAATATATACAGTAACATTTCTGTATATTTTTTCCAAGAATGTGTGGCCTGAATCTGGTTATGAGGAGCATGAAACAGACCTGGAATGAAGGTCATTCTGGAGAATGAAAGGCGTTGTACTCTTTTTTTAAAAAAAGATTTTACTTATTAATTTTTAGAGAGAAGGGAAGGAAGGGAAAAAGAGAAATGTTGGTGTGAGAGAGAAACATCAATTGGTGGCCTCTCATATGCACCCCAGCTGGGAACTGAACCTGCAACCCATCCATGTGCTGCTACTGGGAATTGAACCAGTGACCCCTTGCTTTGTGGGAAGTTGTCCAACCAACTGAGCCAAACCAGTCAGAGTGCTTTGTACTCTTTTCAGTCAAGGTCATGAAAGATGGGGAAAGACTAAAAAGAACTGTTCCAGATTGAAGGGGACTGAGGAGATCCTATAGCTAAATACAATTTATGTGTTCCTGGATAGGATCTTGAACCACAAAGGAGAGACATTGTTGGGACAATTGATAAAATTTTCATGTGTCTGTGGATTGACTCTGTTGTGTATCAATGTTAATTTCTGATTGGGATGGTTGTGTGATGGTAATGTAGCAGAGTGTCCTTGTTTTGGGATGTGGACAGTGGAGTATTTCAGAGAAGAATGTGGAATCATGTCATAAAAAGATATATAAGTACCTTTGCTGTAAGCTGAAACTATTTTATTTTTTGGGGGACTATTTAAAAATAGAAACAAGACTAAACATACTTTTCTAACATTTGTTTCTGTATTTACAGATTATTACATTTTACTACACTTATAGACATTCATACAGTATTTATTGGTTGAATAAATATTGTTGCTTTCTCAAGAATTTAATAATTCTGTGTGTTTCAGCAGGAATACTAAATACATTTTGAACTTTGTCTTTCAGAAATCTGAGGTTGATGGTAGTTTAAGTGATAGCCACGTGTCTCCTCCAGCCAAACGCACTTTGAAACAACCTGATTCTGTTTGCAAAGACAAATCTAAGTCACGAACTACTAGTCAGAGAGAGGAATGGAACATATCAACTGGACAGGCCAGGTGAGAAGTGATAACTCACTGATGGTTTTTTCATGAATTGTTTAATGTGATTCAGGGCTGATGTTAATGCTAATTTTCTTAAATTGTAAAACCGCTAGTATCTAGAAATACTTATAAGTTGCGTTAAATTTACCTTATTATCTTATTTTCTCTAAATATGCTATAAAATATATTTGTTTTATAAAAATAGTATATAATAGAAACCTATTACTAAAACAATATGGATTTTGATAGATCTTAAATGTATATACATGTGTATAGTCCTGAAAATTTAAGTAAGAACATATGGTTAGAATTATTTTTTTTATTTGAAAATAGGTAGAATACCCCCTTTCTAAAATGATTAAATATTCTACTTGTATTGACATACTAAAATATAATAAAACCTAAATTAAATTTTTAAAGAAATTTTTCATTTTCACCTCCTGTTTCAACTTAAATTTGTGTGTCTGATTTAATATGTAGCAGGAAAACTTAGTTTTACTTACCAAAGTAAATGGTAATAATTTAATGTAGAGAGGATAAGCACACACATACAAAAGGTTTCAACTCTGAACTCAGAATCTTCTGCTTCCCTTTTCTCAAAAGTCTTTGATAGAGAAGTGCTGATAATAAGCCAACTGCAAAGGAAAATAAAAGGGAAATTCTTTGGTTTCCTTTCTCCTTGAAGTATTTAAAAATATTTTGATTTTATGTATTTATATTTATATTTATATTTTTAGTGAAAAAATTATTGGGGTTATATAAACTTGGACAAGTAGTTTATATTTACTAGTCTTCCTAAAGCGTCTGTACCTATTTCAGTATGGTCCAGAAAAGGTACCACTTCATTTAAAATTTTTTTCTTTCTTTTTTTAAAAACATTAAAGATTTTTATTTTTCAATTATAATTGACATTCAATATTATATTAGTTTCAGGAGTACAGCATAGTCATATTTTAAAGTTTTTATTTTGCATTGTCTGGGAGCTAAGTAGAAAAATACAGGGGTTACAGTCTATTGCTTTTTTCCCCTCCTTTCTCATGTTCATGTGTGAGATGAAATTGATGCAGATCACTGTAATGAGATCCTCAAGATGCGTACTGCCCTTTAATTACACTTCCAGACTTTATACCCCTGTTATAGTCTGTCTCTGGTATTTATTTAGTGAGTATGAATCAGGCTTCTTTTTCTGGATAAATGTTTCTAAAAACTGTTCTTTTAGTGTTAAAGTTTGACTTTTGACTCTAAGATAATTTCAACAATTTAATTCAAGTCTGAGGGTGTAGTACACTAGATTTCCCTATCTTATCCGCTCAGACGGCTTTTATATAAATTGATGTCTTTCATAGACCTCAAAAATTTTGGGGGGAAGAAACATAGTTTTGCTTCCTTTTAGGTCTTTTAGAGGTGATACTCTAAAAGATACTAAATATATTTAGAGTAAAAAGCTTAAATAATGAATGCTAACAAAATTAACTGTTTCTGTTTTGGCAGAAGAATAATATTTAGCATTTCACATTTTATTTTTATTTTTTAAAAGACTTTATTTACTTTTGGAGAGAGGGTAAGGGAGGGAGAAATACAGGGAGAGAAACATGGATGTGTGAGAGAAACATCCATCGGTTGTCTCTCACATGCCTCCAGTGGGATCAGACCCGCAACCCAGGCATGTGCCCTGACCAGGAATTGAACCTGCGACCTCTCAGTTTGTAGGCTGGCACTCAATCCACTGAGCCACACCAGGTAGGGCTAGCATTTCACATTTTAAAAAGTTTTTTTGAGTTAAACTTTCACCTAGGAATGTAAGTGCTATACTTAGAATCTTTTGGTGTTTTGTATGATGTGAAATGTCATGGGACCTATTAGGTACAACAGAATCAAATTTTAAGCAAAACTTGTACTTAAATATATTTTAGATTTTGAGATAGCATAAATACAAACATAAGGACTTATTTGAAGGCTTCTGGTTGTTTTTATGTTATGAACCTGAGAATCCTGGTTTCTTTATTTTGTAATCTAAGTTCTTATGCTGAAGGTAAATTATTAATTTTTTTGAAGATTTTATTTATTTTTAGAGATAGGAGAAGGGAGGGAGAAAGATGTGAGAGAGAAACATTGGTTGGCTGCCTCTCCTATGTGCCCCGACCAGAGAGACTGAACCTATAACTCAGAATGTACCCTGACCTGGAATTGAACTGGCGACCTTTTGCTTAGTGGAACAACATCCAACCAACCAATTCTTACAAATGTTTATTTGGAGAAAAAATGACTGTGGATAAGAATTAGTATTAGCTATGGAAAATAATGATTCCTAAAGGACTTTGCAAAGACTGCTAAATTCTAAAGAAATTAGTGTTGATTGGTAAAAGTGACTTTTCTACTTAGAGAGATGTAAGTGATGAAGAGAGAGGTAAAAGTGGAACTAGAATTTCTAGGTTTTCATAAAAAATTTGAAGTACAGTTTTCTTTTGGGGAGAAATCTGGGCTTATATATTTGAGGCCCAAGTTCATCAATGTAATTAAATGATTGATTTTGTGTGGTCAAAATATTTACTCTGTATTCTTTATCTTATATGTAGAAATTCACAAATATCCATGCTAACCTAGATGGATGTTAGTGCTTACAAATATTTTGAGTGCAGAATCCTATTTTATGGACTTTTGGCAGCTGGCATTTATTTAGCCAGTGTACATTTATTTAACTTGGATGCTATATGTGTGTTGTTGTTGGCAACCTGGGGAAAGTGGCATGCATTTGATGTCTCTAGAAGAATAGAAAGGCATACTCTATGATACAAAGTTAAATCTTTGAGCCCTGGCTGGTGTGGTTCAGTGGGTTGAGTGCTGGCCTGTGAACTGAAAGGTTGCTGGTTCAGTTCCCGGTCAAGGCACATGCCTGGGTTTCGGGCTAGGTCTCCAGTTGGGGGTGTGCAAAAGGCAATCAATTCCTTACACATTGAAGTTTCTCTCCCTCTCTTTCTCCCACTCTTCCCCCTCTTTAAACAATAAATAAAATCTTTAAAAATCTTTGATAAGACAATCTGTAAACTTAAATGTATTGTGTGAAAAACTTTTGTGGTCAGGTGATGACAGAGTTGTGAGGTGGTGGGCTAAATGTAACCAGCAACCTACATTAGAATGCTGAGGCATATTGGAATTGAAGGGTGGTAGGACTTATGGCCTTCCACACTGAGGCTTTTGCTGAATTGATTTTTAAAACCCTCTAAATCATTACACGCCTTAGGTTCATTTGGGAAAGGGAGAATAAGTAATGACTTTTAATTTGGTATTGCATTGCTAGTTGCTACAGATAATTAGTGGTATAGAAAACTCTAATATAATGGTTGGCTAGTAAAAAGTGATAGTGTCTTCATTTAAAAAAATTTAGGAAACAGATATAGAGAGATATTTCCCACTGAACTCTCTTTTTTAAAATAAACAAGGGAGACTTTATGATCATAAAGGATTTATTAGAGATTCATTTAAGCAGTGAACCCACCTGGTTACATTTTAAGTAATTAACTTTTGGGAACATTGATTCAAAAGACTTTTAAGCCCTGGCCTGGTGGCTCAGTTGGTTGGAGTGTCATCCTATACACCAAAAAGTTTCAGGTTCAATTCCTGGTCAGGGCACAGCCAGCCGATGTTTCTGTTTCACATTGGTATTTCTCTCTCCTTCTCTTTAAAAATCAATAAACACGTCCTCACGTAAGGCTTAAAAGAAAAAATAAAAAAAGAGACTTACTACACATACAGTATTGTATAGGCAGGCCAACCTTTAAAGTCTCAGTATTTTTATATACGCAGTATTTAATATTGTCTGTTTTTTTTCTCCCCCCCAATATTGTCTGTTTTTAAAAAACTTATTTTTATAAGATAAATTATAATGGTAAAATGCTGACAGAGATCTGTGATCGAAAGATATTAGATCGAAGGACTTGTGTCCCCCCTGCTCCCATAAGATACCCCTCATTAATAAAGAAATAAAAGCTAAGTAAGCACTGTCTTCAGAGGGACAAAATGCTTATGTGCTTTTTTCCCCAGTGATGGTGCTACTGTTCAGAAAAGTTTTAAATTGTTTTTGTAGAAATACATTAGGGTTAGCACCTTATTCTGAATAATTTAAGTATGTGTACTTTTAACTATTTGGTTTTACATATAGCTAAAATTCATTTGGAGCCAAGACTTGTGAATAAATAGATTAGACTGAATTAATGTTGTAGAGGGTTCAAAGCCAAAGTATATAAACTGATTTTTTCTATTTGGTTTTAAGTGGATTTTGAGAGTGATTATAGAGAATTTCACATATATAATCTTCTAAGGAATGTCCTGTTAATATACTTATTTCATTACTTTGTAGTCAAATTCAAATGCCAGGAGGATTGTGTACTTGTGTAATTGTGTGCTAAAAATGAATTACTTTTGAAGAGATAGTATTAGAAAAATATAGTTTTGTTGTTTTTCTGGGGGAAAGGAGGGCTAGAGTTTTTGTTTTTGTTTTTGTATTTTTTTCAGTCTTAAGATGTGTAATAGTTCGAGTTTTTGTTCATATCTTTTAATCATCCTAGCTGTGACCTTTACTAATAAAGGTCACAGCTAGGGATATTTATAATGAACAGTTATAACATTTAACATTTATGATTTAACACAAAAAGTGCCAGAATAACCAGGAACATTAGAGTGTTTTAGCTAAAAAAATTTATACAGCCCTGGCCAGGTAGTGCAGTTGACTGGAGTGTTGTCCCGATATATGAAGGTTGCAGGTTTGATCCCCAGTTAGAGCACATGCAGGGAGAAACAGTGAGTGCATGGATGGGTGGAATAGTCAATGTGTCCCCCTCTCTCTCTCACCCTTTTTCTCTCTCTAAAATCAATCAATAAAAAATGTTTAACAATTTATGCAAATCACATAGAAGACGATTGTATATATTTACTATTTTCTGAATGTCTTCCTTTGTTCTTTTATATTTGAAAATAATAATTGAATTTTTCAGAAATACTTTAGTAAGTTTATACTCACAGCTGTTTTATTATGTAACAGTTTAGTTTTATTTTTTAAAGACTTTATTTATTACATTTAGAGAGAGAGGAAGGGAGGAAGAAAGAGAGGGAGAGAAACATCAATGTGTGGAGAGAGACATCTATTGGTTGCCTCTCACATGTTCCCAGGTGGGAACCTGGCCTGCAACCCAGGCATGTGTCCTGACTGGGAATTGAACCAGCACCCTTTTGGTTTGCAGGCCCATGCTCAATCCACCGAGCCACACCAGCCAGGACAACAATTTAGTTTTTGAACTTCCTAATTATAGTAAGGTGAATGGTGATTTTTTTCTTAAGTCTTCATGTTTTGGTGACCATTTAAATATATCAGTAACATTTTTCCTCTTCCACCCAAAAGGCAGAATTGCATAATGACTGTTTTTGGGAAATTAGCAAGTTTTTATTATCAGTTTAGAATGTGTAATAAAATATGTGAAGAAATTATTAAATGATATTGGTGTTCAAGTAATTTTTTCTTCTAACAAAAGATTGTTTGAATAAATTTGTTGTTTCAATTTTATGCTGTTAACCAAATCTATAGTAAAGGTCTGCGACAGTTGCTACTAATGACCTCAGTTAATTTATGGTACATGTTAGGCTTAAGCCTTCTTACTGGATTTTAACTTAGAATTGAAGAGACAGTAAGTTCTATTATTAAAGCTGTTTTTGAAGTAATGAAATGACTCAGTATATTTTGTTAATTGGTATATTATCAATATTATAGTGAAAAAAGTCTTTTTTCTTAAAAAAGGTAATGTTATATTACTGACATTTTAAAGATTAAAATGATTCCACCACTATTGTGTTTTTTGCTTCTTTAAGTCAGTGTTGATATGTTTACATATTGAATATAATTATGTTCTAGGTTAACTTCTCAGCCTGGAGCTACATTACCAAACGGACATAGTAGCTTATGTGAGTATTCTGTTATGAAACTGGTTAGTATTAAAATTCTTTTTTTTTAAAGATTTTATTTATTTATTTTTAGAGAGGGAAGGGAGGGAAAAGAGAGAGAGAGAGAGAGAGAGAGAGAGAGAAACATCAATGTGCAGCTGCTGAGGGCCGTGGCCTACAACCCATGCATGTGCCCTGACTGGGAATCGAACCTGCGACACTTTGGTTCGCAGCCCGAGCTCAATCCACTGAGCTATGCCAGCCAGGGCTGTATTAAAATTCTTATAGTGTTGTTATATTTAAAGCCTTAAAGTGGGGTAAAATTGATTTACTAGGATGCTTAGCATACAGTTGGAAATGATTGGATTTCAGTCACAGTAAATACATATGTAATTGTTAAATGTTGAGAAATTAGTACAAGAGAAATTAAATTATGACAGATTGTAAACATTCATAGAAAATTTAGATTATTGGATAAATAATTTAAATTTGAGAGGTTATATTAAACTTTTTGTAGTCTTTTAAAAGTAATTTTTTCTTGTTATATTCTGTACTTTGAATTGAAAATCTCTCTTCTTGTAGCCCTTCGAAGTCACCCCCTTCGAGGGGAAAAGAAGGGAGATGGAGACCTTTCATGTATAAATGGTGACATGGAAGTCAGAAAAAGTTGTCGTTCCAGGAAAAACAGATTTGAAAGTGTGAACCAGAGTTTGTTGTTTGATCAACTAGTAAATAGGTATGAATGCTTATGCAGTAAGCAGTTCATTTAATTGTTTGACTTTAAGCCATTATTTTATAAGTTTATTTGAATTAACAATGGTTAGCAGTGATTGTGAGTTCCTAGTCAGTTTACTATATTTAATACAATTTATATAATAGTTAAATTTCTGTCATCCTATTTAAACTCTGTGCATAGATACTATAAAAAGTAATTCTGTCTTCACTATAGTCATTTAATATTTTCTCATTTAACATTTGTATTTGTAATAATTTTCAAACAACATTAAGTTCTCATTATTGATGGTAGTTTTGCTTAGTTAAGATTTTGAATTGAAGGTCTTTTTGAGATGGTGCATGTGGGATGTAGCTAGTGAGCCAGCCTAGCTAACTGCTTACATCTACATGCAGTGGAGCATTATTCTCAGGTAATAAATGATCCTACTTAATCTTTGCAATGGCCTGGACAGGGGAGGTCAGTGTAATGCCTATTTGATAGAGAGGAAATTATATTCTATCGTGGTATGGTCAAATTTGGGTATTAGTTGTTATTTTTACTTTCTTCTAATTTTTAAGACATTTTTCTATTACAATTTACATTCAGTATTTTGTATTAATTTCAGATGTACATTTGTTTAAATGCTTAGATCAGTGTCTGGAAAAATAGTAAGTGTTTAAAAGATAAAATGTGCTAACTAATGTCAGCATATAGTTTATAGATGGCAGTGTTCTCTAATTCTAAAAAAATACCTGTTCTATTATCTTACTGGTTTTAAACATTTACAAATTCTTTATCCTATATAATTCTTAACACCATCTTGAAATACAACAGTTAAATTAGTTATTCTTTTTAGTGCCTTGGATCTGGTAGTAAATTGTAGTGGCATTATGGATTTAAGTATTTGGAGCCTTATAAACAAAAATTTCCTACTTTGTAAGTTTTACTTTAACAAATATACTAAGGTAGAAGATATTTTGGTTCCATTTTTGGGGGGAGCATTATCTGATGGATGCCAATTCAGAAAGGGGTATTATGTACAGTTAATATCATAGACGATTTATTGTGCTTTGGTGATGATCTCTTTCATGTGGATGGCACGCTTCAACAACTGTCTAAACCCTCGTTTTATTTTATGATCATAGTACTGCTGAAGCTGTACTGCAAGAAATGGACAACATTAACATCAGACGGAACCGTCGTTCAGGAGAGGTGGAACGACTTCGAATGTGGACAGATACAGAATTTGTGAGTATACTAACTTTAACAACCTTTGCAATTTTTAGTTTCTATTGAGGAAAAAAGGGAGAGTGAACAGCATTTGGATTTCCTTGGATTAATAGAATTGTTCCCTCTTCATTTTTAGTGTAGAATTTTATTGCTTTCTTGCTTCTTTTATCCATACCCTGCTTGTTACAACCTTCCACTAAAGATCCTTTCTATACTTTTGCCAGAGGAGTCATCTGAAAGTAGAGCTCTGATTCTGTAATTTTTTTATATATAATTCTTTAATTTTTTTTTATTGTGTACTGAATTGATTAAAAATACTTTGGCCTTCATAATCTATTTTCAACTTTATCTTCTCACACACCATTGCCCAAATATAAACAAGTTGTTCTTGTTCTTCTATCTTTTACTGCTCTTAATACTTCCAGTTAGGGGCTGATGCAATCCTACCTTGTTTCAAGGTTCATATCAAATGTTGCCTCTCTTCCCTGCCTTTCAAGAGGAGGCTGTCTCTTTGAATTCTACTTTGTACCTTTCTTTATGGCATTTAACTTGTTTTATTTTCTTTTATGGTTACTGTGATTTATTCCATCCTACTAGACTGTGATTTGCTTGAGAGAGAAAGTATCCCATGGCATTATAGTTTACAATTTTCAAATATTTTATTAAGTTTTATTTATTTATTTTCTTGTCTCTTACATTTATTGAGTTCAGGAAGTTTCATTTCATGAATCTGTGCCTTGCAAATACATGGCCAATAACTTTTATTGAATGGGCATGTCCCATTGGATTATAATATTTATAGCCAGGAATAAATTCTATGTTAATATTTGACAGATTTCTTTCTTTAAAAGGAAAATATGGATATGTATTCAAGAGTGAAAAGGCGAAGAAAGTCACTGAGAAGAAATAGCTACGGGATACAAAATCATCATGAAGTCTCTACTGAAGGTGAAGAAGAAGGTTTGTAAAACCTTCTTCACTTTATGAAATAAATACTAGAAAATTCAGGTAGAAGGAAAGAAAAATATGTATAAATAATAAATGTGTAATATTGCTGGGCAGGTGATTTTGGCTGTAGAGGTCTATATTTTGTATAATGTAGAATAATTTTTATTCAACTGACATTCTGAGTTTTCCTTTTCTGCATTGGAATAAAGCCTTTAGTGTACACCATATATTGTCATATAATGTACCTTGTTAGTAGCTGTTGGTAGTCCTTAAGTGACCTAATCTGGCATTGCCACCAACTGATTTGCCTGTTACGTGATATCTGTTTTGTATTTAGGTACCTACTAATCAGAAACCTCTATCCAAAGGTACATTCTATCCATAGCCTCTAAATCTCTGATTATTTGAGTCCCAAGTTTAGTTATGAACTGAGGAGTAAATGGTGAAGTCTAGAAAAAGAGGGACTGGTAGTACTAGTAGAGTGTTCTACTATTCTTTTCTAAGGCATGTCTGGGTTCTGAACTGAAGAACCCCAACTTTGTAGGGCTGAAACTGGGAACATGATATAAATATGTTTGCTTCAAGGATTATAAATGAATGACTAGTACATCTATAGGATTTAATTCTGAGATGTTAATCTTCTTCTTACTCTTCCTCTCCCTCTCCTTCGATATATTTATTGATTTTTAGAGAGAGGGAAAAGGAGAGAGGGAAACATTGATGTGAAAAAGAAATGTGAATTGGTTGCCTCTTGCATGCACTCGACTAAGGACCTGGCCCACAATTCAGGCATATGCCTTGACCAGGAATTGAACCTGTGGCCTCTTGGGATGGCACTCTAACCATCTGATCCACACCAACCAGGGCAGGAGCTAACCTTCTTTATTGAAGTGAATTAGAAGATTTGGTGTATTGTAAATGCAGGGTACTTGTATTTTACCAAGAAACATTGCTAGTTCCCATGATTTGTGTAACTTAGATGGATAAGAAAAGGTTTATATCTCATATTCTATAATTAATATATTAATAAATTATGAAGAGCTGATATGTCTAATGAAGGTACTTTATTGAAAAATGTTATTATAGCTAGCACCTCTATATTGCTTTCTTTGGAGAAAATCAGTGTAGGTGAGACAGATTTATAATGTGTTTCTGAACACTTTTGTGGAGCTTCCAAAGTAGATTTGACAGGTACAGAATTTCTTCCCATAGTAAATAGTGTGTTATTGTGCAGGCATTTTTTCAAAAAGTATTTTTTAAAAGTTTAGGAAATTTGTTTGGGCACAAGTAATTTATAGTATTATTCAGATAATATTTTAATTGCTGCTTTTCTCTATAACTTAATAATATAATTTTTTTAAACTTAAAATAAACTTTTAGATGTCATAAATAGAATGTGAAGTCCTTCACATTTTTAGTCTCCTATTTCACTCAGCATCAGTGGCTATTAAAAAATTTTTCTTGTGCCTTAATATGATTGTGTTATATTGACAGTTCTTATGGTTAAAAAGTTAATCATAAAGTACATTGCAGTTGAGGACCTTAAGCCTATAAGTTTTTATCAGACTGTTATTTTAAACTGTAAATAAAGGTCCCATCACAGCTATAACCAAACAATTTTTTAAACCACTTAAAGAAAAACTTTTAGGATTTATGTATATTATAATTTATTTATTTTTACTTGTATAGCTAGGTGAATTATTATAAAGCGATCACTAATGTTCAAGAAGCAAACTATAGGGTTATCAATATCCTGGAAATTTGCTTCATGTTCCCTCCCAATTCCTATCTGCATTTTCCTACCAAGTGTAACTAATCCATGTTTACCTGTTGTCAACAGGCTAACAAACTGTTATACTGCCAACAAGATTGCTTTTGCTGTAACATTAATAATTATCTTGTAAACATATATATTTTTCAACTACCAGGTCATATTTGAACACTAACCTAATTCAGTGTTTAATTGGGCATTGCATGAATTTTGCTGTAGTAAAATTCTGAATCATAAATAAATCAAGTGCTCAAATATGACCACATTGACTTACTTAGCAGAGAACTATATTGATTATTTATAGGAAAGGCGTTTTCTTTTATATCTATGTTGATTTTTAAGTATATTGATTTATGCTATATTATGAAATGCTGATACTTTTAAATATCACTTCGAGTAGAAAGTGAAAGATAAAATGTAAATATTCAGTTCTGAAGTGGACTAATCCTGTGTATTAAAACAGTGCTTTTTTTTGTGTGTGTGGGTGAAACTAGAATCTCAAGAGGAGGATGGAGATATAGAAGTTGAAGAAGCAGAAGGAGAAGAAAACGATAGACCATATAATTTGAGACAAAGAAAAACAGTGGATCGATACCAAGCACCTCCAATAGGTAGGAGACTCTAAAGAATTTCTTTCTTTTTGTAGTTGAGTAGCATATTCTACTTCATCTCTTTAAAAAATTAGTGTTGCTTAATTTAAAAGAATGAAATCTCTTTTAGGTTTCGTACATCTTTTCCTATACGTACTTCTATTTACACACAATGGAAAGAAACTTGAAGTACGTAGTTGCAACGTAGAATTGCATTTTTATTTAAAGAAACTTTTAATAAATACCGCTCTTACTTTTATATTACTTTATAGTTTATTGAGCACTTTCATTTACAGCAGTTCTTTAGGACAAGTATCTATGTTCCCAGTGGTCGAATAATTTAGTCACAGAAGGGGTACATGGAGGCAGCATGGCCAATAACACAGGGTCTCTTTTTAAAGGAAAAAGTTTAAATCTAATAACAAGTAATAAATTTCACAGGTACTATTTTATTGACTTTTTCCAGCTCTTGGGAAGTTTCATCACTATTGATTCCCTCTAGATTTTTAAAAATTGAGTTGTAATTCACATATCATGAAATTCACCATTTTTGCTGCTTTTTAATATGTGCAATTTATTGATTTTTTTTGTATAGTCACAAGAGTGTACAGTCATTACCACTATCTAATTTTAGAACACTTTATTATTTTCACACCCCGTCGTCCCTTGCTCTAGCCTTTGGCAACTGCTAATTTACTTCCTGTCTCTGTAGGTTTGCCTATATGTGACCTTTTGTGTTTAGCTTCTTTCACTTAGCATAATATTATCAAGAAAGAGCCTAGATCTTTTTACTCAAAGTATGTTCTAAAAGAATGATTGATTCTCTGAAAGGGGTCTGTCAGAGTAATTTCATTAGAAGCTTGCCTAAGTATGCAGATACGTCTTCTAATTAAGAGTCACTGTCACAGAAAGTCCTGTTAATAATGGGAAAGGTGTGTTGGAACAGAAAAAAGACTGAATCCTTTTTCTAGATTAAAAAAAATCTTACCGCAGTATAACTGAATTATAGTCCATTGCAATTACACATATTTAATGTGTTTAATCTGACATGTTTGAAATACCTTAGCTATATCCCTGTGAAACTATCACCATAGTCAAGATAATGAACGTGTTCATTGACCCCCACATTTCATCCTGCCGGTTTATAATCTACTAACATTCTTATGCCCTACCCCCCTCCCAATCCTGAGGCAGTCGCAAATCTGATCTGCTTTCTTTCACTATGGATGAGTTTATATTTTCTCAAATATTATACACAGTAAATAGTACGTACTCTTTTTTTTTTGTCTGACTTCTTTCTCACAGCATAATGATTTTAAGACTCATCCATGTTGTTGAACATACTGTGCCTTTTTTTTTTTTTTTTTTTTGCTGAGTAGCATTCCATTGTATGGATATATCACAATTTGTTTATCCATTGATTTGTTTTATGGGTATTGGGATTGTGGCATTTCTAGTGTTGGCTATTATAGAGTTGTTATGAACATTCATCTGCAAGTCTTTATTTAGACACGATTTCATTTTTCTTCTAATCACCCAGGAGTCGAATAGCTAGGTTTTACGGGTAGGTATATATTTAACTTTCTAAGAAACTGCTACCTGTTTTCCAAAGTGATTGTACTGCTTACTCTCAATAAGATACTATGAGAATTCTAGTTGGTTCATGTTTTTGCCAATACTTGGTATAGTCAGTTTTAAAAATTGCTTTTAATATGTATTTATTGTAGTTTTAATTTACATTTCCCTAGTGACTAGTAAAGTTGAGTATCTTTTTATGTGATGGTTTGCCAGTGTTATCTCTGGTGAAGTGTCTGTTCAAATCTCCTATGCATTTTTTCAGTTAAGTTGTTTATTTTCTTATTACTGAGTTTTGAGAGTTCCTTATGTATTCAGGATGTCAGTCCTTTATCAGATAGGTGATTTACAAATATTTTCTCAATATATAACTTGTTTTTTTATTCTCTTTCTGTGGCTTTCAAAGAGCAGAATTTATAATTTTGAAGAACTCAATTTATCAATTTGTAAAAGATGGATTGTGCTTTTGGTGTTGTATTTAGACTTAGTTTAACACATTTTTAGAATGGTCACTTGCAACTTAGACCACAAAGTTTTTGTTTTTGTTGTGCTCCTTCTAGACATTATTTGGAACTTGAAGACAAATAAGACTAGTTTCTTTCAGAAAGTTAACAGAAGTAATTTCTACCCCTTTAATACATCAACTTATCATTTTATTATTAGTTATTTCTATATTATTCTTTTTTCTTTAAGTACCTGCTCATCAAAAAAAGAGGGAAAACACACTGTTTGATATTCACAGATCTCCAGCAAGAAGAAGCCATATCAGGTATGTTTTGTTGGCTTTTGAAAGGAGGAAATATTTATATCTGTCATTTAGATATGTCCTTTAAATAATTCATTATGTGATGCCTTGTAATTACAATATAGGTATTGATGCTGTAAATGATAATGCCAGTGAGGGAGTAAATAGCATCTTTCTTTCTTTTTTTTTTTAATTTTATTTTTTCTATAACAGTTGACATTTGATATCATCTTATATTAGTTTTAGGTGTGCAGCATAGTGGTTAGACAATTACAGAATTTACAAGTGATCCTCCTGATAAATCAAGCACCCACCTAACACCGTGCATAATTATTACAGTGTTATTGACTGTATTCCCTATGCTGTACTTTACATCCCCATGACTGTTTTGTGACTGCCAATGTATACTTTTTGATTCCTTCACCTTTTTTACGCAGTCCCCCAATCTCCTCCCCTCCAGCAACCACCAGTTTGTTCTCTACGCCTATGAGTCTGTTTCTGTTTTGTTTGTTTATTTTGTTCTTTAGATTCCACATATAAGTGAAATCACATGGTATTTGTCTGTCTTGGTCTGGCTTCTTTCACTAGCACAATACCCTGTAATGTCCATCCATGTTGTCACAAATGGTCAGATTTCATTCTTCATTATCACCAAGTAATATTCCACTGTATTTATGTACACATATTTTTTATCCACTCATCTGTTGATGGACACTTGGGTTGCTTCCATATCTTGGCTGTTGTAAACAACACTGCAGTGAACACAGGAATGCATATATCTTTTCAAATTAGTGTTTTGGTTTTCTTCAGATATACTCTTACATTCAGAAGTGGAATTGCTGGGTCATAATGCAGTGCCATTTTTAATTTTTTGAGAAACCTCCTTATGATTTTTCATAGTGGCTGTCAATTTGCATTCCCACCGACAGGGCACAAGGTTACTCTTTTCTCCACATCTTTGCCAGCTTTTGTTTGTTGATTTATTGATGGTAGCCATTTTGACAGGTGTGAGGTGACAGTTCATTGTGGTCTTAATTTGCATATGTCTGAGGATTGGTGATGTTGAGAACTTTTTGCTATGTCTAATTACGTTAATGTACTGTGTGCATTGTTCTGCACCTTGTTTTTTCATTTAATTCATTTTAATTGTCTTTTCAGTATAGTGAAATTTTACATTTATGTTCCAGTTGCATAATATTACATTTGTAAATATACTATAATTTTCAAACCAGTCCTTTATTGAGAACAAGGTTGTTTTCAGCCTTTTGCTGTTGTAAAATATGATATAATAAACACACTTGCATAATTGTCATTTACATGATACATGTGCCTTTCTGAACTACCTTTTTAAAAAAATTGTAGGCTCCCTATTCTCCTGTTTTTTTTTTCTTTGTGGAACTTACTGTTTATACTTCATTAGGTGTATACTGAATGAGTGCAAGGAGCTTAGTAACTATTTCTGAATGAACGGATGAATGTATTTTCTACTAAGCTAATTGTGGATACAATGCTTACAATATGTTTTTAAAATCCATTTGCTGCTGTGATGATTTTAAGGATTTTACTCTCTTTAAATAGGAGAAAGAAGCATGCTATTCATAGTAGTGACACAACTTCTTCTGATGAAGAACGCTTTGAAAGAAGGAAATCAAAGAGCATGACAAGAGCAAGAAATAGGTTAGTACAATTTTATCGTTATTTCCCTTGTAGAAAAAAAAACACTTTTTATATTTTGAATGTGGTTTTTATCTTTACTAGCATTTTTCTAACACTGATACTCAACACATATTTTAGACTAGAGTAATGCACTGACTTGGTTTTTACTAATTCTTAGAGGAGACGTCTGACCTTGGGTTACTTACTGTGTAAGTATTTGGTAAAATAGTGTGTGGAAGGCAAAGGGAGAAGAGCCATGGGAAAGAGGCTGACCCTCTATGGCAGCCTGTTTCTCCATACTCCCCCTCTATCCCACATTCGTTCAGTGAGGCTGATTTCACATGCATGTAATGACGACAGCACTCAGAGTGAGATTTGGTTTCTAACAGAATTATCTTAGGAGCCCTTGGGTTTTTATTGGAAAATTTGTTTGAGTTTTGGTTGAATGAGTGCCTCTGGTAGTCTTTGCCTAACTAGGGTAAGTGACTGATTACCACATGGCCCACTGAAACCTCAAAAGTTTTCACTGGGGCAGAGAGAATCAGTCTTTTGTCTAGTAAGTAATTAAAGCTTTCAATTATAATTAATTCTTTAAAATTTGAGTTTATTTTCTAGCTCATACTACTGAAGATAGATTATATTTTGAAAATTTGTATTTGGCAAAGCATTTCCATAATTTGGTGTTATATATTTGTTGTAGAAATACCAAGATTTTATTTAGCAGGTCTTGGAAACAAGTGTGGAGTGGTGTAGATTGTATGCAGACAAGAATTCCTCCTGTAGATGGTGGAAAGAAAATGTAAGAGGAAAATCTAAGTTTAAATGATAGAATTTGATGCCTGTTTAATCTGAACTATTCTGATATCTGCTTTGGAAATATATTTTTAAGAGAAGGTAGCACTCAGAAATGTTATCAAAGTTACATTCTTTATAGAAGCTATATATTTTTAAAGCTGTTTGTCATTTTTTGGTGTTTACCCAAGGTAAAAAGAGTGAGTAGATTATGTTTTCTTAGGGGTATTAAACTTGAATAATACAGTATAGGATTTTAGGTAGCTAAAGGTCTATTTTAAGGTAGTTACACAAAAGATAAAACTGAGTTCTTAAAATGAGACCTAGGCTTGGTTTCCTTTGAATAAAAGGGAAAGAAATTTCTTCAGTCATGTAAACTGAGTAGGTATGTTCACGTACTACCTAAGGATAAATTTAAATATTATAAGAAAGCTTTACTTCATTTAATGCTATATATTATAGTACTTATAGTCGATCTATAACTTTTACTTGTATAATATGGAATATCAGGTAAGTTATGTTTCCTAAGTTGAAATAAATTGTCTTTTTTGGACAAATAGATTCTTTTTTTTTTTTAAGTATATGTTATTTATTATCTATTACAGTTGTCCCATTTTTCTCCCTTCACTCCCTTCTGCCCTGCACACCCCCTCCCACCCACATTCCCCCCTTTTCATTCATGTCCATGGGTCATACTTATAAATTCTTTGGCTTCTACATTTCCAGTACTATTCTCACCCTCCCCCTGTCTATTTCCTACCTACTATCTATGCTACTTATTCTCTATACCTTTTCCCCCCTCTCCCCTTCCCATTCCCCTGTTGATAACCCTCCGTGTGATCTCCATTTCTGTGGTTCTGTTCCTGTTCTAGTTGTTTGCTTAGTTTGCTTTTGTTTTGTTTTTTTAGGTGTGGTTGTTAATAATTGTGAGTTTGCTGTCATTTACTGTTCATATTTTTAAATCCCTTTAACATTTCATATAATAAAGGCTTGGTAATGATGAACTCCTTCAACTTGACCTTATGTGAGAAGCACTTTATCTACTCTTCCATTCTAAGTGAAAGCTTTGTTGGATAGAGCAATCTTGGATGTAGGTCCTTGCCTTTCATGACTTGGAATACTTCTTTCCAGCCTCTTCTTGCCTGTAAGGTCTCTTTTGAGAAATCAGCTGACAGTTTTATAGGAACTCCTTTGTAGGTAATTGTCTCCTTTTCTCTTGTTGCTTCTAGGATTCTCTCCTTAATTTTAATCTCGGGTAATGTAATTATGATGTGCCTTGGTGTGTTCCTCCCTGGGTCCAACTTCTTTGGGACTCTCTGAGCTTCCTGGACTTTCTGGGAGTCTGTTTCCTTTGCCAAATTGGGGAAGTTCTCCTTTTATTATTTGTTGAAATAACTTTTCCACTTGTTGCTCTTTCTCTTCTCCTCCTGGTATCCCTATAATTAGGATGTCGGAATGTTTAAAGATGTCCTGGAGGTTCCTAGCCTCTCCTCATTTTTTTTGAATTCTTATTTCTTCATTTTCTTCTGATTGGATGTTCTTTCTTCCTTCTGGTCCACACCATTGATTTGAGTCCTAGTTTTCTTCCCATCACTATTGGTTCCCTGTACATTTTCTGTTGGAAACTGCCCTGCCTGGTTTCAGAAGCTGTAACCCCTGCCAAGGCTAAGGCTGAGGGAACAACCTTAGACTGTAAGCCAGCAAGGAGACAAAAGCTTATCTCCCTGGCAGGAGCTCTGATTCTGCTCCTTTTACTTCACCCTGCCTGGTCCTCAGTGCTTAGTCGGTTAGCCAATGATAGGTAAGGTTCCCCAAGGAGAGAACCACTTAAGACAGGCATGATCACATATGAGGCCCCCAAGGAAGGACTTTGAGGGATACAGCAAAAGGGGGTGATGGACCCTGGCCCCTCGGCTTTGATAAAGACTGAGTCCTCATTGTCTACAAGAAAATCACCTAATCTCTTGGCTGCCTTACTTCCCTTGCTCCACCTAAGCCTGAAACAATGACGGAGGGTGGTGCATCCCTGTGCTGGAAAGGGCGGGTTCCCCGGGTGATCAGGCCTAAAAAAGAATATGTAAATTCCTGTGAAACCTGCTTTGTTCAGAATGCTCTCAATTAACTGATAAGGGTCCAAGCAAGAAGTAAGTTTGTTCCTCAAAGTTTTTTGTTTTTTTTTTAAGATTTTATTTATTTCTTTTTTAGACAGGGAAGGGAGGGAGAAAAAGAGAGAGAGAAACATCAATGTGCTGTTCCTGGGGGCTGTGGCCTGCAACCCAGGCATGTACCCTGACTGGGAATTGAACCTGCGACACTTTGGTTCGCAGCCAGAGCTCAATCCACTGAGCTACGCCAGCTTGTTCCTTAAAGTTTTATAGCTCTTTAGCTATCTGACCCTGACTCAAAATAGGCCCTCAGAGTTCTTTGTTCTTTATTGTTTGATCCTTACTGCCAGGTAATGATTAATGAGCTTTACCTGAATTCCTGTGTAAACGAATCCAATGAAAGCCTGCTCCAGCGGGAGAACGGAGCACTCTCCCCTAGGGAGGGTGGCTGAGGTGCTTTACACTGGAGAGAGTGGCCGTTCCTATTTCCCCACAGGACCTGGTAGTCTCTGTATGTTTTTCTCGTGTTTCGACAAGCCATCCGCAGCGTTCTGCGGTCACTGCAGGTTGGTGGCCGTGTCAATTTTCCTTCATTTCATTTAGCATAGCCTTCATTTTTTCATCTAATTTGCGACCAAATTCAACCAATCCTGTGAGCATCCTGATCACCAGTGTTTTACACTGTGCATCTGATAGGTTGGCTATTGCTTCATCGCTTAGTTGTATTTTTTCTTGGAGCTTTGATCTGTTCTGTTGTTTGGGCCATTTTTTTTGTCTTGACGTGCCTGTTACGTAGAGAGGGGTGGAGCCTTAGGTGTTCACCAGGGCACGGCAATCCACGTCGCTTAGTTGTGACGCTATTTGTGGGGGAGGGGTCCAAGAGGGAACAATGGCATTTGCTCTGCTCTCTTTTGGCTTTCAGTCCCTTCCTGCACTTCCCCCAAGCAAACCAGGCCCTTCTGGTGCTGATTCCCAGGTAGGTGGGCTTGTGTATATTCTGAGACCCTGTGGGTCTCTCCAACCAACTCTTCTGTGAGGGTGGGAATTTCTCCTGCTGCCGCCTCAACCCCCACAGGTGTTTTAATCAGTGGTTTGAGGCTTTATTTCCCCATGCCGGAGCTCTGGGTTGTGAAGTGTGTCTTGCTCCCCAGTTGTTCCTCTGGGTTTATCTGGGCATGAATGTGGAATTGCCTGTTCCACCAGCTGCTGCCACAGTCTTGCTGGCCAGCTGCAGCCTTGCGCGTCCTGCTCCACAATCCGGTGCTGGGTCCGCCAGCTGCAGCCTTGCCCGCCTGGGTCCTCCAGCCATTGCCTTACTTAGTCCTCTCCTTGTGCCCATCTCTGCCCCTCCTACCAGTCTGGATGAGGGTGTCTTCTTGAACCCCTTGGTTGTTGGACTTCCATGCAGTTCGATTTTTTTTTGTCAGTTCTGGTTGTTTTTTGTTTTTAAATTGTTGTTGTCCTTTTGGTTGTGCGAGGAGGCACAGTGTATCTACCTATGCCTCCATCTTGGCCAGAAATGTGGACAAATAGATTCTTGACCTTGTTTTCTTTATATAGTGAATAAATTTATTTTTGGCCCATTGAAAAGAATTTAGAGAAAGTAGTTTAAAAATATGAAATCTTTTGATATTATTTTCTGGTTTATGATAAAAAGGAGAAAGGTGAAAATGTGTCAAAGATTTAAATTTATTTTGACATTAAAAATGTGAAACACTTAATGCTATCTACTTGAACTTTTATGAATTTCAGATGTTTGCCCATGAATTTAAGAACAGAAGATTTAGCTAGCGGTATTCTTCGAGAACGTGTCAAAGTGGGTGCAAGCTTGGCTGATGTTGATCCAATGAACATTGATAAATCAGTAAGTTTCGTAAATGTTTTTCTAGAAGGTCCTTTTTTTTAAAAAAAAGGTCATTTCTTGTTTCTAAAGCAACATACAATATAAGTAGCAAGTCTAGATATTCCCATTAGTGTTGTATACACATTGATGTATATATTTTTGAACCTAGACTTCGGATCTCATAAGATGTTCACTCAAGTTTTTCCTTTTTTTTTTTTTCTCTATTGTTGTGTTATTGGAGTGTAAACTGAAAAATGGTTAGGAAATGAGGCTGACCCTGTGATAAAGCAGTGCGGCATTATTGAAGCTGCTTGGGTTTCAAGATCATATTTGCATTTTAGACAGATCACTCTGTCTATGATGTAGTTAATGAATTTGAGGGCAGCAAGGCTGGCATTAGGGAGACTGGTTTGGACACAGTTGTAATCTAGGAATCTAGAGTAATAGTCATGGTAGAAAGTAGGGTAACCATGAGTGGAAGTAGCATATGGATTTGGCAGAATTCAGAAGAGAATTCAGTGTGACAGAATTTGATGAATTAATTGCTTTTTGAGAATGAGGGAGAGAAACAAGCTGAATGTGTTACCTAGGTTTCTGGGTTAAACAACTAGGTGGGTTAATGGCTTCATTCTCTGATGTAGGGAACATAAGACAAGAAATGTGTATTTGAGGGTGAAGATGATTTGGTTTTAGACGTGTTTTGGTATCTGTGGCACATCACAAACTGAAGTAACTTGTAGGAAATTGGTTATTTAGTTTTGGCAATGTCCGGGCTAGAAATTTATATATGGGTCACCTGTATAAAGATGGTTAAGGTCACTGTGGAAAATGGATAATAGCACCTGGGAAAGTATATGACATGAAAAAGAGAGAAGACTTAGAGGACATGTTATAGAATCTTACTGTTAGTAGAATCTTTTTTGGAGGAATACTTGGGAATAGTATTATTGCATAACCAAGAATGTATTTGATTATTTTTGTTTGTCCTATAAACTTTTCTGTTCAATATAATTTAACTGATTTTCATGTGAGAGACTGACGTTATCAAATAGAGTTGTGTATATATTTGAAAATGAAATGTTACCTACTTCTATATGTGAAGTCATAGGGGAAAATATTTATTAGTGAGGACCTAAGGAAATTTCAGAATCTCATGTCTTATTCTCAGAGGCCTTAATGATCTTTGCTTATTTGGTTTACCACGACCTTACTCTCTTGAATCTAGTTAATTTTAGACATGTCTGCCAGTCAGAGTAACTTATTTCTTATTTCTTTTTTTTAATCCTCATCTGAGGATATATTTATTGATTTTAGAGAGAGAGGAAGGGAAAGAGAGAGAGGGAGAGGGAAACATTAGTTGAGAGAGAAACATCGATCAGTTGCCTCTTGTATGTGCTCAACCAGGGATCTAACCTGCAACCTAGGTATGTGCCCTGAAGAGGGATTGAACCCACACTGCAACTTTTTGGTGTATGGGATGATGCTCCAATCAACTGAGCCACCTGGCCAGGGCAGTAACTTATTTCTTTAAGGTTTGAGATCATATGCAAGAAAATTCAGCTACTTTAAAAATGTTCATTATTTAGACTATTTCTTTTTCTACATTATTTAAATGCTGTCTCTCATAGATATATTCATTGTACAACATTTTCAAGAATCATAACAGAATAAAGAAGGGAAAGAAACCTTCCAGAACCCAATGGTCAGAGGCAATCATTGTTAACATTTTGATACTAATTTTTTCAAGTACTTTCTTTACACAGTTTTTATATAGTTTTTAAATTTACAAATTGTTTTAGGTGTTTAAACATTTAAACTATTAGGAATGTTTAAACTATAACTATATAAAATCTCTGTTGCTCCTTGTGATAGATTAGTGATTCTCAAGCTGTTTTTCATTGTCTCCTAGGACAAAAATTAAATTTATATCTAGATAAATTACTGTTAAAGATTAAGATTTTGAGCCCTGTCTGGTATAGCTCAGTGGATTGATCACGGGCCTGCGAACCAAGGGGTTGCTGGTTTGATTCCCAGTCAGGGCACATGCCTGGGTTGCAGGCCAGGTCCCCAGTATGGGGAGCCTGAGAGGCAACCACACATTGATGTTTCTCTCCCTGTCTTTCTGTTTCCTTTCCCATCTTTCTAAAAATAAATAAATAAAATCTTTTAAAAAGAAGGTTAAGATTTTGGTTTGGAAGGTCACAAACCGTTGTAATAGCAAAGATTTTTTTTTTTTACTCCTGGATCAAATTTTGCCCCGTTGGAGGGTGATATGGCCCTTGCTGAGAATGCATGTGATAGATGATATTTTGAAAGGCATTTAAATTATTAGAGTGTATACACAACATAATGTCTCCTATGGATAACCATTAAAATGTTAGATTGGGCATTAATCTTGGTCCTTAGTTACTAGGAGATTAAAGAATGATAGCTTTATTTGGCTGGACTGAAATGTATACTTGAATTTTACTACCAACTTTATGTTTCTACACTTATTTTAAAAGTGTAATTTTTTGAACTTTATGTTAATAGTTCCTACTGAAGCATGTATTTCTGAATCATAAAACTATCTTATGTATTTAAAAACATCAGCGAACAGTTAAAATTATTTTGTGTTAAACTTTCCCCTTTCTTTCCAAGGTACGGTTTGATAGCATAGGTGGATTGAGCCATCATATTCATGCACTAAAGGAGATGGTAGTATTTCCGCTATTATATCCAGAAATTTTTGAAAAATTTAAAATTCAGCCTCCAAGGTAAGTATTGTTATTAATGTTAATTTATCAAATTTTAATTAGCAAATTATTATAAATATAAATATTTCACATGTGTTTATTTGATGTGTTCTAGCAATGAGAATTAGGAAAGAGTTTTTTTTTAGGGCACTTAAGGCTGTAGTACTGTGTTCTTGAAGTTTACATTTCTGCATTTAAGGGTCAGGCACAGGATGAAATTCTTTATGCAGGTCTAGAATATACAAGTGGATTGACCAAAAAGATTTTCCTTTTTGGCTTTCTGATATCATTGAGTTTGATGCTCTATATTATTTAGTCTTCAGAAGCACAACTTCAGTAATGTGATTCTTTTACTTAATGATGGGATATTTTTGAAGTAGTAAGCTTGATAATTTATTGTTTATGATTTTTTAATTGTTTGATCATGAATGAGGTGTTTATCTAGTTAAACATAAGAAAAGGCTAAGAAATTATGTTAAAGAAAGTTGGATAGAATCAAATATTCTGAAGATGTACATTTATAGACTTAGATTTAAACTGCTAAATGTGCCCTACATTGGCTTTTTAAAATCATAATAGCAATTTATTTGTTTTTTATATGATGTAAGTTAAATTTTAAAAATAATTGTTACTTTTAGTATAGTTTGAGAAAAACTTAAACAAAACAGAGTTATAAGGAAAAAGTGTTATAAGCAGAAAGTAATTCTCCTTGGGGGTGAACAATTTTGTATATTGTTTACAGGTTTCTTTTGTACATTTATGTGTATATTAAATTTATGTTTGTCTATGTTATACATATAAACATTTAAAATGAGATTATTCAACAATACTTTTACATAACTTTTTTACTCTATAATATATTCTAGACACCTTCCATATTAGTAATGTACATGTTATTATTTTTGACAGCATACTAGTGTTTTATTTTATAGATGTAACAGTGTACCTGTCCTTTAGTAATACATATCATTTAGGTTTTTTTTTTTCTCGTTTTTCACAATTAAAAACTGCACTGTTTAGCATCCATTTAAAATTTTTTAAATAACATTTTTAAAAGTATTTGTATATGATACACTCTAAGCTGTGAAATTGCAGGGTCACAGGGAAAATACACTTACAATTTTGATATGTCTTTCCAAATTACTCTCTACTCTGATTTAATTTTTTTTTTTTTTTTTTTTTGCCTACCAAAGCTTGGTGCTTTGAGAACATACTTGAGGACTCTCAGCAAAGAGAAACTTTTGTCTATATACTAAAAAAGCTTTTTTCATGTCTAATAATTATAACAGCTGTCAATATAAAATTATATGGGGGATGTAACCTTTTACAGTGTTTATTAGTGATGGTGATAACATTAATTTACTTTCAGTAATTTTTTATTCCTCTAGGGGCTGTTTGTTTTACGGCCCTCCTGGCACAGGTAAAACCTTGGTTGCCAGAGCGTTAGCCAATGAGTGCAGTCAAGGAGACAAAAAGGTGGCTTTTTTCATGCGAAAAGGAGCCGACTGTCTGAGCAAGTGGGTTGGTGAATCAGAACGGCAACTTAGGCTTCTTTTTGATCAGGTAAATGAAATCAGCTAATAATGAGATTATCTTCTGTAGAATGTTTGATACATTTAGTCTGTAAATGTGAACTGTTCATGAGGAGTCGTATTTTCCAATCAATATGTCAAATTTCGGATTGATCTGAATTTGAATGTCTGCCTTAGAGGTGTTTAATAGCAGTTTTGCTAGTACTAGTTTAAGATGATTCACAACACATTTATTGAGGTGGCTTCTGGGGATGTAATATCATGTTAGGTGCTTTTGGGAACCCTGGTTATAACATATTTATCATTAGATTGTAATCTAATTGAGGAAATAGAACAAGTATAAAAGTTTAACATGAAATCTCACAAAGCAATATATTACTTATTTTCATCAGTTGTAAATGTGTTGGAAGAATTCAGTAATACATGAATGCTTTTAAAAGACTAGGTGAGTGAATATTGTGTAGCTATCTTTACTATTTATACATAAGTTACTTAAAAATATTGTTTCCTAATATGTACAAGAAATAGTCCTGGTATAAGTTTACTTTGGATTGTTGAGATAGTAAATGAAATCATTCATATTTGTCAATGCAACTTACGTTTCATTGTGGCTAAGGAAATTTACATGAAATAAAAACAATGCTTTCAAGAAGCATTCTTTCAGCACCCATTATTGAATTCTGTGTCAAAGTCCTTTGTAAGTGGTAAAACACTTCAAATATAGTTATTAGTTATTAGCATGAAAAACTGCTGTGTTTTGATGATGGACCTAGGAAGAGGAATATGGTAAAATTCCTACCTTCAGAGTGCTCAGTGTCTATTGGGAAGCCAAACATATGCAGTCTGTATGCTTCAAGAGAATTTAATAAGAATTGAAATGTATAGGTGTATGATAACATTGGTTGACAAGGAAAGAATTAACTTGGAATTGCTGACATTGTCCAGTGACTTCATTTTAAATTTTTGACAGTTAAACTTCTTAGCTGCTTCATGCTGGGGAGTAGGAATGTGTCTTAGTTTTATTTAAAACTATACCATAAATTATGATGCTTTTTAAACCTTAATTTACTTTATTTGTGTCCCATAGTTTTCTTTGTGGGTAAGAGTAGAGTGGAAATGTTTGCTTTCTCTTATAAAAAAGATGACTGATCATGTTGTCTTTTTAAATGAAGGAGTCTACCTTCCTAAATGAAACACTTATCTGTGTGCACTGAATGAAAGGAAGGAGGGGTGACATATTGACTCAGAGTTTGGCATGTGGTGTCGGGGAAGTGTTAGTTTATATCTGGCTTTACTATTAAATATGCAACTTTAAGCAAATAAAAGCCTCTGATCCTTAGTCACCTCTTCCATAAGAATGAGGGAAATAATGCCTCTCTCACTGGACTACTGTGAGATTTTACGAAAAGGAAGTATGTAAAGTGCTTATTACAGTGACTGGCGTGTAATATACTGTGCTTCCTTTTTGCTTTTTTGTGAGGCTGTAGTTCTAAAAAAGAGCTGTATTTCATGTATGTAAAAGTAATAATCAAGTCTTTATAGTTTTTCTCTTATTACACAATTCTAGTTTTACAAAGTTTTTTCTAAAACCTAGGTTTTATGGTTGAATTGTCCTTCATTTCAAATTATTGGAGAGTGCTGGAAGTTTAGTGGGTCTCCTGTCAGTCAGGAGAAAATGAAAAAATTGTGTCTATTCTTTAGTAAGCTGACCTTGTGAACTAATATTGCTACAAAGTAGTTTTGAAATATGAACTATATTGGGTAAATTATATAATAAAGATTTTTCATTTGTAACCTTATATTCATTCACCTTAAATCAAATTAAATTTCTGCTAGATCTAAGATTTAAGTGAGAAAAATGACACTGAAACTACCAGAAGAAAACTCAGGAGAATTTCTTTTCTCAAAGTTGGGAGAGTGTAACTATGGAAAAAAAGATATACTATATAAAATTTTTTTTGAGATTTTGCATGGTGACATATTGTAAGCAACACCAAAATCTAAATCATAGGGTGAGAGAATTAAGCAAAGAAAAAACGAAAAACTCATGGACACTGTGTGGCGACTGCCGAAGGAAAGGTGGGGGCGGGGGAGGCAGATGAGTGTGAAGGGGGATGAATGGTCAAGGAAGGAGACTTGACTTGAGGTGGGGAACATACCATGCAATTTGCAGATGATGTGTTGTAGAATTGGTGGATTGTAGGATATACCTGAAACCTATATAATTTTATTAACCAATGTCACTTCAGTAAGAGAGAAAAAAAGATAAATGATACCACTTGCAGAAAAATATTTGCATTTCCTTTCACAGAGAGAGGTCTAATTTTTAAAATAAATAGCTCTAAGAAGTTAGTAAGCAAAAGGCCAATAATCTGATAGAAAAAGTGGCAAAGGATACAAATAGAACTTTCTTAGAAAAAGCAATGTGTTTCTTAAACATGTGAAAAGTGCTTACTCATGTTGATAATAGAGATAAAAATTAGAATGAAAATGAGGTAACATTAAGATGAAGTTAGATAATTGTTGGTGAGCACTCTTAAATATTGCTGGTGAGAGGGTAAATTTCATCAGTGGGAGGCAATTTGCAAATGTCTAAATTAGAAATGATACATGCCTTTTGAAGCAGTGGTTCCACTTTTAGAATTAACTATATTGCTATGGTAAAATGTTAAATGTACACACAAATATTTGTTCAAGCATTGTTGATAATAGGGAAAGGTTGAAAACAGCCTAAATGCCCCATGAGTAGGGGACTAGTTTAATTATGGTACATTCACACAAGTGAGACATTTTCTAGCTGTTAAAAAAGAATTTAGGTAGATATTTATATACTTATATGGAAGCTAATTAAAATACATTGTTTCATAAAAAAATAGGCTGTTACATGACAAAAGAGCAGTGTGTATAGTATGTTTATAATGCATGAAATAAGATAAAAATAGTGTATTTAAGAAGATACTCCTGTGTATGTGTGAAAATGATATATATGGAATAAACAAATAGAAAACAGTAGATGCTTATTGGAATGCTTGTGGGATGCAGTAGATGTTTGTGGTTGGAGACTGGGGTGTCTCCGTAATCTGTTTTACCTGCTGCATGTTGTATCATTTGCTTATATTAGCTGTTAATATGTTAACACAGTAATTAAATATGAGAAATGGAATATAATTCAATAAATAACTTTTTTCTTTTTTTACAAGGCATATTTGATGAGACCTTCTATAATATTTTTTGATGAAATAGATGGATTAGCTCCAGTTCGCTCTAGCAGACAAGATCAGATTCACAGGTAATTTTTTCTAATCTGATTATGTTAGATTCTTTTCACTCACTGACATAGTATTTAGCCTTAGCCCTTGGATGAGTGTGATAAGGCTTATTAAATGTGATCTGTGTCCTTGAGGAAGACTTTTTTCTGTTAGCACAGGGGTCAGCAAACCTTGCACGACCTGTGGGCCAAGTCTAGCCTCCTGCCTATTTTTGTAAATAATGCATTATTGGAACACAGCTGTGTTTATTCCTGTTTCCATTATATATGACTGCTTTTGCACTACAAGAGCAGGCAGTGTTGAGTTCTGGGAAAGTGATCATAAGGCTTGCAAAGCCTAAAGCATTTACTTTCTGGCTCTTTACAGAAAAAGTTGCCTAATCCTGACTTAGCATAATGTTTTAAAAATTTATTCATGTTACATGTACTCATATTTTGTTCCTTTTCATTTTTGAGTAATATTCCTTGGGATGTATGTGTGTATACCACAATTTATTTATTTGTTAGTCCATGTTATGGAGATTTCATTTGCTTCTATTTTTGGCTATTATGATAATGCTATTATGAACATTTGCATACATGTTTTTTATGTGGACATATATTCTCATTTCTCTTGGGTAAATACCTAAGAGAGAAAGGCTGGATTCTATGTATGAATTGATACTGTTTTCCAAAGTAATTATGAGAATTTGGGTTATTCCTCATTCTTGCCAACATTGGGTATTATTACTGTTTTTAACTTTAAACATTCTTGAAGGTGTGGATTTTCGTTTTCCTGATAACTAATAATACTGAGCATCTTTGCATGTGCTTATTGTTCATGTAGATATTTTGTTTTGTAAAGTGACTGTTAAAGTCTTTTACCCTTTTTTAAAAAAAGGAACCACTTTTGAATGTCTTAATGTGTTATAAGATTGTGTCCTTTGAAGACAAGTCCTTTGTCAGATCTGTGTTTTGAAAATTTTTCTGTTAGCTTGGCTTGCCTTTTGGTTTGCTTAATTATGACTTTTGAAAAGCAAAAGATTTTATCTTGATGAAGCCCATTATATAGACATTTTTGTGTATATATATATATATATTTGTCTTGAGAGTAATTGCTTAAATCAGTTTGTTAGCAATTCTCTTTTCTTCTAAAATATTAATAGTTTTATCTCTTAAATTTTGATCAGTGATTAAATTTTTTAAACCAGAAGTTCAATTTATCTATTTTCTACTTATTGATTTGAGGGGAGGGGGGAGAGAAAGGAACACTGGTTTGTTGTTCCACTTACTTACGCATTCATTGGTTGCTACTTGTATGTGCCCTGATTGGACATCGAACCTGGAACCTTGGCATTTTAGGACGATGCTCTAACCAACTACTTACATTTCTTACAGTGTGGATCCACAGGGTACAAATTCTTTCAGCTTTTCCATGTTTGAGACAGCCTTTATTTAACTAAAAAAAACCCAGTTTTATTGAGTTACATTTTATACCTTGTAAAATCCCTTCATTTTTAATGTAAAATTCAGTGATTTTTAAAATAACTATTCCTAGTGGTACAACCATCTGAATAAATTAATTTAGAACATTTCCCCCCCTGAAAGATCCAGCCTGTAAATTTGCGGTACTTGACCCTCAGCCAACCAGTCATCTCTGTCTCTATACATTTGGCTTTTCTGCACATTTCAAGTAAATGTGATCATACAATATGTAGTCTCTTGTGTCAGGCTTCTTTTCACTGAGTGTGATGATTTTGGGGAACATCCATGATTTAGTATGCATTAGTTATTTCCTTTCCTGTTACTGCTGAATAGTATCTAGTGTATGGATGATATCCCACACTGGATAGATATTTAGGTCGTTGGCATTTTGGGCTATGACAAATAATGCTGCTCTGAACATTCATGTGTAAGTCTTTGGTTGGACATGTTTTCATCTCTTTTGAGTAGGTCACCTAGGGTTGGAATTGCTTGGTTGCATAGTAGTTTTATGCTTAAGTTTTTGAGAAGCTGAGCTTGTGTTTTTTAAGAATATTTTCTCTGGGTGTAGAATTTAAGTTTTATTCTTTTTTCCCCTGGTCAGTACTTTAAAGATGTTGGTCTGCTGTCCTCTCCTTCATCTTGTTTTAATAAAGAGTTCTGCTGTCATCTTTGTTTCTTTGTTATATATCTTTTTCCTTAGACTGCTTTTAATTTTTTTCCTTCTTCATCACTGCTTTTGTACAATTTGTTTAATGTTCCTTGGTAGAATTTTCTGGTTCTTTGATTGAGCTGCTTAAGTGTGTGAACTTCTTGTTTTCATCACAATTGTAACATTTTTGGTCATTTCTTAAAATACAGTTTTTGTCTTTCTTGTCTCTCTCTCTCCTGTGTCCTCTAGTTACATTTATGGTAGTTTAACTGATGCTGTTTCATAGCTTACTGACAATTTGTTAATTTTGCTTTAAAACTGTAATTTCTGTATTTAATTTGTGGTAGTTTTTATTACTGTGTCTTGTAGTTAACTCATCCTTTTTTTCCAATATCTAATCTGTTGTTAACCACATTCATTACACTTTTTACTTACATATTTTTGTTTCCATCTCCAGAAGTTCTTTTGGAAATGAAAAAGATCTGTTTTCTATCTGCTGTACAAAGATATAAGGAACTGTGTGATATATAGAATGTGGTTGTAACTATTAGTGTTCCAATCTGCCTATTTTAATATCTTAAGTTTTGAACTGGTTTTATTTGGTTGATTTCCCTGCCTCTTTGTGTACCTGCAATTTTTATGGGAAGGCAAACATTATAAATTTTACCTTGTTGAGTACTAGATGTGATATTTTAAAAAAATATTCATGAGTTTTTTTTCTGGGACACAGGTAACTTTCTTGAAAACAGTTTGCTTCTTTTGAATCTTGCTTTGAAGATTTATTGATCTGGAATAGTCTTCTGTGTAAGGCTAATTATTCTCCAATAATAAAGTAAGATTCTTCTGTGCATTACACAATGACCCATTAATCATGAGGTTTATTAATCTGGCCATAGGAACTGGCAATATTCTTGGTTCTCTGTGAGTGTAAAATACTGCTGCTACATCTCTTTTAAAAGGTTTTATTTATTTATTTGTAGAGAGAGAGGATGGGAGGGAAAAAGAAAGGTAGAGAAACAGCAACATGTGGTTGTCTCTCATGTGCAACCCAGGCATGTGCCCTGACCTGGAATCAAACTAGTCATCCTTAATTCGTAGGCCAGCACTCAAGCCACTGAGCTGCACCAGCCAGGGCAAATACTGCTTCTTCTGATCCTGGGTATTTTTTTCCCTGTGACTTCAGTAAGTTTCTTATGTGTGCACCACTGATTAATATTTAGCTTGTCTTTTTAAAAAATATTTTATTTATTTATTTTTAGAGAGAAGGGAAGTGAGGGAGAAAGAAAGAAAGAGAAACAGCAGTTACCTCTTGCGTGCCCCCAAGTGGGGTCTTGGCCCACTACTCAGGCAAGTGCCCTGACCGGGAATTGAACTGATTGACTTTCGGTTTGAGGGAGGACACCCAACCCACTGAGCCACAGTAGTCAGGGGTATTTAGCTTAAATCTTGAGGGGCTCTGAATATATTTCCTAAGTGTGTTCTCTGTGCAGTGGTCTCTCTGATACTCTTTCCTGTGACCTTTAGTCCTTTTAGTCTCTGTGGAATCTCAGCTCTGACTCTACCACTCAGTGCCTCAGCTGATCCCTAACAGGATGCTAGCTCTCCTACATTGCAACCTGGAAGGGAAAGCCATTAGTTGGATCATTGTTTCCATGCTATATAATTTGTGTTTTTTCTCTTGCTGCTTTCAATATTTGCTCTATATGTTTGTTTTTCAACAGTTTAGCTATGATATGCCTCTGTATAGGATTTATATTCTGATTGGTGTTTATGATGCATATATCAGCAAATTTATCTTTTTTTTTTCAGTCTTTTTTGTCTTCCACTTGGATAATTGTTTTGATCTATCTTCAGTTAGTCTTCACTTCTTTCTTTGTCATTCTGTTTTGCTATTTTGTCCACCCTATGCTTTTTTAATTTCAGAAATTATATTTTTTAGTTGTAGATCTTACATTTAATTCTTTTTCATTATTTATGCATTTCTACTATGATTTTCATGCATTTAAACATTTTGTGTTCTTCAAGATTAGTTAATAGTTGCTTTAAAATCTTTTTGTGTTAGTTTCAACATCTGGTTCACCTCACTTTTAGGCCTGCTTGATTTTCTTTTCTCTTGAAAATATGCTCTGTTTTGGTTCTTTATCTGTTAGGGAATTTTGAATTTTATCCTAGAATGAATGAATGAATGAATGAATAGAGGAAAAGAGGTAGAAAGAGAGGGAGAGAAATAGCAATCAGTTGTCTCTTGTAGGTGCCTTGACCTGGGACTACGCCCCGACCTGGGACTAAACTCACAACCTAGGCATGTACCCTGACCAGGAATTGAACCAGTGACCTTTTGCTTTGCTGGACAATGTCCAGCTAACTGAGCCACAGTGGTCAGGGGCATATCCTGGACATTATTAATGTTAGCTTGCGGAGGTTGTGGCTTTTATTGTTTTTCTTTTATGAATAGTATTTTGTCGGGGGTGGAGGGTCCACCCGCAGAGCTCCCCAATCTGGCCGGCATGGATGAGAATAAATCTACCAAGACAGGATCTGCTTGGGGAGGAAAGGTGGCCAGTCTCTCAGAGGAGAAGGGCCTTGAGCCTGTTTCTCAATGGGCTTTTATTGGATTTAGTTTGCATGGGAAAACAAGCTCATCAATCATTATCTGATAGTAATGATCAAGGAATAGATAACATTCAAAGAACTATGAGGGTTTATTCTGAGTCCAAGTCAGATAGCTAAAGGGCCATAAAACTTTGGGAAACAAAAACAAACTCATTTTATGCTTAGACCCTTAACATTTAAATTGAGGGTATTCTTAGCAAAGGAGGCTTCACAGGATTTTATGCATTCTTTCTTAGGCCCGATATTTCCAGGGAACTTCCCTTTTCAACACAGGGCTGCACCACCCTCTGGCATT